CTTGGGTTTATTTATTGCACGAACATAAGTTATTTTCACGTCCTCTTTGCCATTCCGCCTCTCGGCACAGCCAGGATGTTGGTACAGAGCCGTACTTTATATTTTATATATGCAAATCACATTTTATCTTATATAGAGCAAAAAAAAAAATATTTATTTTCTGACTTACAGTATGTGTCCTACCCGACTCCTCTGTATTTTGTAGACTTTACAAATAAAGCAAGTTCTTTTTTTTTTTTTTTCCACAGCGAGAGTGTGTTTGGTCATTCTTGAATGTCAGGACAGGGCTGTGTCTCGGCGAGACAGGTTTTCTAGCTCCCTCTAGCTTTGCTGCAGGACACATTAGAGAACGTGACCCCCCCAAAAAAGACTGGGAAGGGGACAGACAGCTCATGACTTCTTAGGAGAAACACAGATTTATAGTCTCTGAAAGAAAAGGGGTCAGTAAACAAGTTTAATGCTGAACATCACCCTCCCACAAAGTGCTTGCTTTTATGAGCAGTTCAGCTGTGCTGAAATCAGCTTTTCCTAGGAAAGATGATGCTTTTCCACAGAAAAATTCCCTCTGTGCTGCCTCGGGACCTGGTGCAGGAGGAGAGGCAGGTGCAATCAGGGCAGCTCTACCCAAAAACTTCCCCGTGGAGTGACCTCAGCACCTGACCCGGGTGCAGCGAGGAGGGAAGCAGGGAGCTCACGTCCGTGGGTGGCAGGAGAAGGGGAAGGAAGCGTGGCAGGCACCTTACCCAGAGGTGAAGCCCAACCTCCTCCCTCTGGGGAAAAGCCACCCTTCCTCAGAGCAGAGGTGGAAGCAATGAGGGTGTGTTCCCCTGATGTCCCAGCCTTCCACCAGCTTGCACCACTCGCAGGGTGGTTCTACCTGGGGTTTACATTCTCCCTTCTCTCTTGCTACTGCAAACTGCCCCAGCCCCACCACTACTCATGGAAGAAAAGCCCAGAGCTGATGTTTGCTGGGGCTCATGTCAGAGAATGTAGCCTCCCCCTCCTCCCACAGGTGTTTCGCATCAAGCACCCAAGATCAGATCTCACCTCTACTCCAGGTTTTTGGCAAATGGGTTTTGCTCCTTGCCCTGGGCCATCAGTGATGTCTCATCCTCAGAGGTGCTTCTCCCTCAGCTCCTGCATACATGGACAGTATGAAGCCATCCTCTGGAGGAGGACAAGACACACTGACTTACTAAGCCTCAGCCCCTGCCACCAGCAAAGGCTCAAAATCAGTTCAGAGAAATCACCCAGACAGCACCACGCAGAGGCAGCTGAAGTACAATCTATATTATCTCTATATTTTTATTTGTCATCATATTTGCTTATTTCTGCAGAGTATAACATCACAAAGACCAAAATAGAGAGAGCGGCTTGTCGCTGAGCTCACATCAGTTAAACACAATAGGTACAAAACTAGGTGACTCTCTTATTTATCATACATTTTTTTTTTTCAGTCGTTTATATACAAAGAACTACTCTATATGGAAAAATAATAAACAAATCCCATGGGTATGTTACATGGTAAACCAAAAGGAAGGAAGGAAGAAGAAGGGAAGCAGGTGAGGGAGAGCAGCTCCAAGGGCCTACTTCTGGAACCAACATGTTTGTTGGGGCCCTGGGCTACCACGAGCAGACCTGCAAGACCATGGATGCCTTGGCCTCCTTGGTCTCAAGTTCTGGGTCTTCTATTTGTTCCTCCAAGCCAGAGCAGCTACAGAGCCAGTCCTTGCTCTGGCACTTACCTGTTGTGAGGGAGAGCAGAAAGCTCAAGAGATGATTTTGTGTGGTGTTAAAAAATATATATATATATTTATATATATAAAATTAAAACGCACGGCAGCTGGCTGTTGTTTGGGCGCTAGTTCTTCATCAGGCTTTTCCAAAGGCAGCTAGTGCAAAAGGGTTATACTTCAAACCACTACAGGAAGCTTTGAGAATATCCAGAATCCTCTGCGCAGCATATATATATGCAGCATACATTTAAAAATAATTTAAAAAAAAAAGCTTCCCCCAAGCCTGGATCATCTTCAAGCTCCACAGGCAAGCCCAAAGATTTCAGATCTCAGCCACCCAACGCAACAAAGATTGGGGACAGTCACCTATTAAGTGACGCTGGGACATCATCAAGGCCTGCAAATGCAAGGAAAGGGGAGGAAGGAATCATGTCCCACGCTCCACTTTCCTAAGGGAGAAGGGAAGTTTAACAAATACCTCACGCTAAAGCCATGGAAGATGGAAGGAAAGCACATTCCATCTTCAGCCCTGCTTTCCAAGAGGCTTACAGCATGAGGAAGAGGAGTTTTACACCAAGCCCACACAAAGCCCGGCAGAGAGCATTTGCATGTCCACTACAGCAGCGACAAATTTAGGAAAAGCAGTAACCAACCCCATGGCATCACCAGATGGGTGCAAATGGGGAAATCCAGCAGCTGGGAAGCTGCTGGATCCACTGACCCTGCTTCCAGCTCCCTCAAGAGTTGGCACCGTTGCTCCCACCTGCTTCACCATCCCCCCAGACACACTAGTATGGAAGGAGACGCTGTCCTTAAGCCTTGGACTATCTTGTCCTCACAGCAGGGAGCAAACCTGCCTCTCTTCAAGCTCTTTCCCCCCAGCTCCTGACCACCCACTCCTGGGAGGGGCGCTGAGGAAACGAGGCGCTCTTTGCTGACGGTCACCTCCGAGAAAGTGAATAAGCAAGCGCATGGATTCGGACACAAGAGGAAAGGTAAACTCCAGGCAATAAAGCAGATCCCAGTTCTCCCAGCAGAGCAACGAGGGGCAGTCTGGAAAGGCGCAGGTCTGCTGATGGCAGGGCAGGCATCAAGCAGGAGAGAAACAGAGAAACTACGGCCAAGAACACCACAAAAGCTTGCTCCAACCTCTCTGTTTTGCTTCCCGCTTGGTGGTCGGGGCATCCGATCTGTGACTGTTGAGTGTTTTCCCCCTTCCTTCCCCAGACAATTTTAAGCAAGAGGCATTTTCTGGTCCCTGGATAGATCTACAGAGGGATCAATTTTATTTTGGCTCCACTAAATACCAGTCCAAAACCCAAAAGAAGTAAGGGGAAGCTTCTTTTCCCACTCCCATAGATGCTGGCTCCACTCCCGACAGCATTGCAGTGGCTGCAGGGTCTGCAAAATGTGCAGCAGCAGGAACTGCTGCTTGAGAAACTAAGAGGGACAATTTTAACCAGCCAGGTCTTGTCAGGTTTCAAGTCTGCTCCAGTTTGGCCCAGAACAGCTACGGAGATAAAAAGCAAAGGAGGAGTGTGCAACATCTCTTCCTGAATACTCCAGCCTAAGGGCAAAACTTGTGCAGCTCGCAGGGGAAGTCAGTGATGACAAGCATGGGGGACAGCCACCTGTGAGAGATCAGGACCTGCTCTGGCAGAGACCTGGTGCAACCCACACCTTTAAGAAGGGCAGCTACGTTGGTGGGGGACAGAAAATAATAAGAAAAAAAGTTTTAGTGTTTACACATCATCCTTTCCCAAAGAGGGTCGAAATGGCCAGAGCTCTACAAACTTCCACCACCCATCACGGCCAGTCCTGGGTCTTGTTATGAGGAGACACATGCTCCAGGGAGGCTTCTTGCCACAGGAACACAGGGGAGATGGAAAAGCTTGGACACCTGGTGATCAGAAAACCCTGCCCTTGTAAGACAGTAATTCCATCCCTGCTGAGCTTCAACAACCCATCAGGCTTCGACGAGGAGCAGGGGGGGATGCAGGGAGTGGAGGAACAGAAGAAAGTCCCATCCTTTTCCCCCCTCACTCACTCCACTACTACAGGACTGCACAACCAGGTGCTTCGGAGGTGGGGCAGATGTTCGTTACTAAGCATTCGAGGCAATGGCTATAAGAGAGACCAATCTCTGGTCTGGTCCTCAGGAATGCTTATCGCTGCATCCTAATCCTATTTCCCAAGGATCACCAAGATGTTAGTACCAGGGAGCCAGGGAAAAAAAAAAACAACTGTGCCTACATCAACCATTCAGGAAGAGGAATACAAAGCAGTTGGGTTGTTCAGCTGGAAAAAAAGCAAAAACATTTTTTGGCCACAACTCCAGGTGCTGGCCAGTCACACTCCACACCAAGCTGGGCAGATGTGGGAGGCCAGAGCCCCAAACCCTGGAGCTTTGCTTCAATTGATTCCAGTCGATTGCTGCTGTAAGGAATGGGCTCGAGAATGGAGTCCTGGCCATTCCCCCACCTCCGCACTGCTCATCGTGTCCATACCCACAAAAGCTAATGGGAAGTGCCCACTTCTGCAATCTGCACTCTCTAGGAAGTGATATGACTTGGGTGTTTCTGCTTCAATAAATTAAAAAAAAAATTAAAAACAACAAAAGAAGGAAAATGACAGCCTGGGCTGGCAGTTTCCCCATCCTAGAATTCATCGTCAGAGCTCAGCAAGAGGGTCTTCTCGTTGTCGCGGGCACCCGAGCAGCTGTGGGAGCGTGAGATAACATGACTGCCGTTGCGCCAGGGTGGCCCATGCTCCAGCGTTGACTGCTGGGTGTACTGCTGGTAGGCTGGGGAGAAGTTGTGGATCGCATCTTGGACAATGTCATGGGGGTTCATTGTCTCCTTGAGGCTGCTGGAGATGCTCTTCATGGGAGCACAGCGACCTGTTGGGGTAAGATAGGGAGGGACAAGTGAGGAATACTGCTGCCTTCCCCCACACCTCTTGTCATGAAAGGTAAGAAGAACAGGGAACATGCACTTCTAGATCCTGCAGAATTCACTTTACAGACTTCCTTAAGCAGCTGCTGAGGAAATGCCACACAAATGGTGTTGAATTGCCCAGAGAAGTTGTGGATGCCCCATCCCTCGAAGTTTTCAAGGCCAGATTGGATGTGGCTTTGAGCAACGTGGTCTAGTGGGAGGTGTCCCTGCCCATGGCAG